TTAAGCAGTGCTGATAGCAGCATTGGCCTGGTAAGTGGTAAAATCTAGTAAGGCACAAGGAGAAAGGGTGGGCGAGATCCTAGGTCTGAGAATGTGGGCTGTATCATACTTAGTAACTCCTAGAGGTGGCAAAGGCCTGGCCCATGACTGCCCATGCGAGGTGGAAACTGTGTAACATTTATTTCTCATCCAGAAACATAGGTCTTAAATGTCCGCAGAATGGAGAGGAAGAAGGTGACTCAAGAAATTTTGAAGTAACAGGTTACATGCCAAATGGTGAAGAAAAGGCAAAAAAGTGTCTCTGTACTTCCTGGCTCTACCGTTCGTTCGTTACTAGTGCAATTCTTTTGAATTCTGAGTAATTTTTACTGTGATTGAAAGGAGATGCAAAGTATGAGTTCTTATGATTTCAACACTCAGAAAATTAGAAAAATCGATGGTATATCTTTCAAACATGAAAACAGGCGTGGTGATACTGACAAAATATAGAATACAGTACCCTATATAATCAGGATAACCTTCTTATGGGCCTAAAACATCAATCCATTGTAAAAATGAATTCTAACACCTGATCACGACTGACTTTCTTCTGTTTTGTTACAAATAATTTTCTGGCAAACGACCTTCTTATGTCATTACATTGAATGGACTCAAAGATTCAATTTGAACACAGTAATCTATTTTCCCAGTCTCTAGGTGATAGATGTTTGCAAAGTAGTCTCCTTAACCAAGAGGGGATATGTGTGAAAATTTTATACTGATCGTAACCTTTCCAATGAAATTAATCTTTCAAAACTGCAAATATAAGTGGGTGTTTAATGGCTACAGGGTTTTCTTTTGGGATGAAACGTTCTGAAACTAATTAGGGGTGATGGTTGCACAACACTGTTAATGTGCTAAAATGCCACTGAATTGAACACTTTAAAATGGTTAATTTTATGTGAATTTTCCCTTAGTTAAAAAATAAAAAGTGCATAGTGCCTCGGGGATCCAGTATGTGCGGTAAATTCTTTAAGAATCTGCGACGTACTCGAGTGCCCTTAGAGTGGGTTAGGCCTTTCACCCAGAAAACGCCGTAAACAAACTAAGGGTAGAAATCTATATCCTCTGTTCTCTGTGCCTAAGACTTCCCCAGACACAAAGGGTGTTTTAAAAAGCCTCCTCTACCTCCAGCACCAGGAAGTAACCCTTGATGCGCAGCAGCCTCGATCTCAGCAAGGGGGTGGGCTTTGTTGGGGCCGTGCTCTCACTGCCAATCATTGCACCTCCACTGTGGGCCTTCGGCGGTCTCCCGTCCTCCCGGGCACCACAGGGGAAGGTATCCTGGTTTACTCACTCAGCTATCCCAGGCGCCTGGCACATCTGACCTCTAAACAACCTCCGAGCTCAGGCACTGCAGCCACGAAGACCCTAAGAGGGGGTCCTGGGCTCTAGGCAGGACGCCGCGGACCGCCGGGGGTCGCGCACGTACACCGTCCCCTCCCCAGCACGCGGCGGCGCGCGGCCTGATGGGAAACGTAGTCCTCCGGGCGCCAGCTCCCGCGAAGCAGCCCCTCCCGGATTTGTTTATCTTCCCATCCCGAGGTGGGGGATGGGCGGCGGCTGCGGAGCGGGCCCGGGCCCAGGCCCAGCCGCTCGGCCGTGCCGCGCGCTGCTGCCGTGATCGCCCCCTGCGGAACGAAGGTGAACCAATGTCATGGGTCCGGCCGCACTCCTCGGCCACTCACCAGGGTGAGGGCAGCCCGGGTGGGCTGCAGCTTCCTCTTGCTCACAGCCCGGACAGTGGCCCGGACTAACGAAGCCGACATCCTCGCCGTCCAGGCGCCCCGGTGCCTCGGGCCGGAGCTCGGCTGCCTCAGCCTCTCTCCATGGACACGGCGGGCGCATTGACGCCACAAGCTCTGGCGCAGAGCGCCCCAAGCTCCGCCCCGCGCGGGTCCGCCCCGCCTCCACCATTGGGCGGGCCTCGAGTGACGGGCGGAGGGCGGAGCGTAGTGACACGGCGCTGGGCCCTTGGAAGGTCATCACCGCTAGGGCGACCTCAGCGCCAAGTATGGAGAGGGGCTGGGGCATGCATGCGGAATGACCTCCGACTTGTGGGCTCCGGTGGCGTGTCGCTCCAGGACCTGCCCCCTGGACAAGGTGCGGCGCCACCGCTTAGGAAAGCTGGAGTCACCCCACTACGGGAGGGGCGCTGTCAATGGCAGAATGGTTCCAAGGCCTGGACATCTACATACATTTCAGTTTTTTTTGGTCCAGCTGGGCAGTTCTTCAGAATGTAGAATTACGGCGGAGTCATATAAATTAAGAGTCCCCAACAAGCGTGTTGTACTGCCTGGGATGTTGATGGGTGGTGTTAATGCAATTTTCGCTTTAGGTGCTGATTTTGGAACTCAAACCTACTCTCAGATGTGACTGGGCAGCTCTGTGAAAAATCATTTATAGCGAGACCCAATCAATAAGCTTGATTGAACTGTTGTTGGTCAGACCTTGTCGTGGCTGCTCAGTGGCTCTGCCTTTCAATTCTGCCCGTTAATTTACCATATATTGCTGAGCACCAGGCACTATACCAGAACATACACAGGAAACCTGATAAACGGAGGGTCCAGGGAAGAATTAGAAATCATGGTAGGATAGAAATGCTGCAGGGTTAGCAGATGGGAGAACATCAGGCTAGGCGGCATTTCTCGCGGAAGTGCTAGAGGTAAAGGGAAAGAGGAGGTTCTGTGGAGTGGTGCTCGGAAAAATAGATTGTTGCTCAGTGTTTTGATGTGGGAAGAACTAATCAGTGCAGTGTGTCTTAGAGCCCAGTTTATCTAATCCCCTAGAGCCTGCTGGATTGGATAGTTCAAAATTCCTTTAAGTAGTTCCGCCTCCCTGCTACTGAAATGCAACTGCATCGACAATAAGAGGATGGTTATATTTTCCCCCCAAATCCCAAAGCACATAGAAGAAACCGGGATTAAGAGACAGTAGTGTGGTGGGGCTTGTCTCTTGGCTTCATCTGATAAATTTGGTGATTAGGGACAAGGTAATTTATTTCTCATGTCTTTCCTCCTCCAGATATTGTGATTAAATGAAAAGCCCTTAGAAGAGTGCAAAGGCTCATGGCAGCACTCAGTAAACATTGTTAAGTAATGGATATTTAAAGATGCCATATATTGTGAAACTACTCTGTATGACACTACCAGTGGCGGGTACATGCCGTTACACGTTTGTCCAAACTCACAGAATGGACCACACCAAGAATGAGTCCTAATGTAAACTATGGACTTTGGGTGATAATAGTATGTCCCTGTTGGTTCACGGATTATAACAAATATCCCACCCTGGTGCAGCATGTGGATAGTGGGGGCGGTTGGTGTGTGGAGGCAAATGGGAACTCTCTGTACTTTTCCACTCAATTTTGCTGCAAACCCAAAACTGCTCTAAAAAATGAAGTTAATAAAAATGGAAAAATGCCATTATCATTTTATCAATTATTGAAATATTATACAGTTGTGTAGCACTTTACAACTTTCAAAAGAACCCCTGAGCAGTCTCATGGTAGCCTCACAACTTTGAGCTGTATAGGAAAGGAGTGTTGGCTATTTTACAAATGATGCTGAAAGCTTTTTAGTATAGTGCATTAGACACTATTTTAGAAATTTAGTTCTTAAGTTTTCTTAATTCAGGATCCTGTGTATGTTTAATAACCTTGTTTCCTTTAATACACACTATTCAGTTTTTAACTTGGTTAGCTGTTTTGCATTAAAATGCTAAATCACAAAATCTACGTTAGATTAATACCTGTTATTTGAAACTGATGCAGACCCCTTAAATTGGTGTGTCATTAGAAGAGTTTTCATGACTATGTAAGAAATATGTGAGCTTCTTTATCTCAGAGCAGCAGCTGTCCTGTGGCGTTGAAATGAGGAGGATTTGGGAAGCTGTAAACACTTTTGGATTTCCACTAACCGGTTAAAAACTTTCAATAGGGAAATGTTCAGTACTGCACTTCAGAATTTAGTTTCAGGGCTCCAGCCTTTATTTTAAAGTCTTTTCCTGGTAAGACCTCACTTGATCCTCATTACTCTGTGGAACAGCAGATCTGATTTCCATTTTATAGGCAAGGAAATGGAACTGCCAAGAGGTTAGGGCAAAGTGCCACACTCAGCTGGAAAACCGGCAAAGCCAGATCCCAGTGAAGTCTAGAATTCCACACTGAAGCTCGCAAAATTCTTGACTGCTGTCCAAACACGCCTGCTTTCATACAAAAAAAGCACAGAGCACATCTTTACGGTTTTATGGGTGCTAAATTCTGTATCTGCTTTTCAACTTTTTCCTGTAACACTATGAACGCTATTGACCAATCTACCCACAAATTTTTCCACTCAGATCCACGTTGTTAATACTCTCTCTACACAGAGATTAAAAAATACTGATTGGGGCTATACAAAATGGGTTTCATATTTTTGTTTGTTTTTGAGAGAAAAGAGAAAAGGAGAACCCCAGTAGTGGTGCATTTGTGGAGCTTGTTATGAGACAGGCCAGCTGCATATGAAAGATAGCTATGCCCTGGGAACTAGACATGGCATGGAGCAGATATGTCTGTCCCCCAGCTGGGGTGCAGAGAAGGGACTGTAACCAGTATCCAAATAAAGGGAGCAAAGAACCAAGGGCAGTCAGTTTTCCAGGTCTGCTGGCAAATACTGGTCACTGTCCCACTGATCCAGTGTTAGGGATCAAAACAAAAAAAGCCCAATACACTGGGTAGAATCTACTTTAGTAATCAGAATAGAATGCAGGGAACTTTTAAACATCCTTAAAAAGATATAGGAAAACATGATTTCTATAAAAAGATAAAAATAACTAAAAGGATGAGAGGAAAAGGAAGGTGGGTAGGGTTAAGTCAAAATTAGAATTGAAATGACAAAATTCTTGTTAGAAACATAAAACAGCACGACACTAAAAATCAAGCCAGTCATGTGAAGATTAAACTTGAGAAGTGTTCCTAGCATGAAGGAAAAAGATAGAGAGAAAAATATTAAGACAAAAGGATTTTTGAGAAAAAAGTTAAGAATATAAATGCTTTCTCAAATGGAAAAGCAACTTGGGTGGGGAGATAACTGGATTCGATTTTGTTTCACACACAAGTTATTGACACAAAAGTTACAGGGATAAACAAACACAGAAGCACCCAAGCAGAAAAAATAAAACCTACAAGGGGACAAAAATTAGGCTGGCCTCAGATATCTGCTGTAATGCCAGAAGACAACAGCATCAACGGGCTTCCCAAAGGGTGACAAGAACTGTGGGCCTGTTCAAGTTGCCTTTCATGTCCCAAGGTAAGAGAACTCAGAAGAGCAGCAGCTGAGGGAAGTCAGGTAGAGCAGAGTTTCAGCCCAGGTTTCCTAATTCACTTAACACACGAGTTTGTGTTCATTCAACGTTGAGTAAGGAATGATCACTAATTCTACCATAACTTCCAATTCTAAAGTTGATTTTTATTCTTCTTTAGCTGGAATATGTCTTCAAGTAAAGTGTTTAAAAGAAGGGCACACAGGTATGTAATTTTTGAGTCCTCTCCTATCTGGGAATGCTTATCCAGAAAGCACCTTCTGCACCCCTCTCTCTGTGTTCACCCCCCTAAGTCTGGGCCTCCTATTTACACATCCCCAGTGCTTGGCACACAGTGGGTGTCCATGAACAGCAGGCTGCGTGAGTTCAAATTAAGGGAACATGGGCATGTACTGCCCTACTCCTCGATCCAGTTTCCTCATGGAATATAGAACTCTCACTGGGAAGTGATGTGGCTAAAATTACAGGTCAAAATTCTGATTTTATTTCAAAATGATAAATAAACCAAGGAATAGTTCTGACCATGTACTACTTCTGAAGGGCTTGTGAAGTTAGAGAAACAGTTCCATGAGGGTTCCAGTCAGACCCAAAATGACACCAACCAAATCTGTGATTGGTAGAGACAGTCTCTTTAATCTTTAGGGTTTTTTTTTTTTAAGCTCTCCACCCTCATTTCTGAATGTTATAAAAAGTAAAAAGCACTTTTGTCATTTTTCCTTTGAAAATGTTTTCAGCAGCAAACAGGACTACTTGTTTTCCTTCATTTTTATCAGCAAAGTAGTTATATGTCAACTTACTTAAAATTAGAGAGGGGGAAAAACAAAAAGCCCCTCAGTGGCATTGCTCATCCATGGAAGACTCACATAAATAGGTATTCATGTTCATTTTATCACTTCTTCTACAAATATCAATAAAATAAGGTTTGTAAATCGTAAATACAGTAGTAGCAGTTCACACGTATTTGACACACTTTCACACAAGGATTCGGTAAACAACAATAAATATAATTTCCCCTGTTCAAAACAAAAAAGGGACTTACCGGAAAAAAAGGATTAATTTACTTGGGGTTCATCAGCACACCATTTTTAGTGTGTTTTGAAAATTAAAAACCACGTAATTGTATTCACTGAATACTGGCCCATAGTTACATTTTTTAAAAACCTGGCTTAAATGCATACACCATGGCTTTTTATTAAAATCCTTAAATCTATGGGATTTGTGATAGGTTAAGATTATATTAAAAAATTTTTTTTTTCCTCATTAACAATTTCATTCAATTAAAAAAACAATCTGACATTTCCCTTAAATGTTAAGTTGAAGCCTGATCTATGCCCCCGTGTCCTGCGAAATGAACTTAATTTTCAAAGTGAATAGGAATGCCTGAGTGGCCATTCAGAGTGCTGCTTTCCCTTCCTTCATGATTCCTGCTGGGTCCTCTTCACCGTAGCTTTTCCCTGAGTCATGTATTTACTGGAAAGGCTACCTAGAGGAGGGGAGAAAACAAAACAGAACATCAATAAAACAAGCCCCATTTCATTGCAAAATCCATAAAACTATTTCTTATTGTTAATTATTCACAGAGACTTTTCACA